TTTTTTTTTCTGAAGAAAAAAAAAACTCTTCCTACATCTTCAAATATAGTGAAGCAAGTTTCAATTGAAATCATGATGACTTATGGAAATTCGCATTGTCCGCTATCCTGAGTTTTACCCGAAGAGTTTGGTTAGAGGACAAAAGTTCTTATATATGTTCCGGATTAGTGTATGTACATATAACAGTTTTCATTTACTAAGTTATTAACTATTGCAGATCAGTGGAATGTGGCAAACTCTGCTGGAACACAACGTGATCTGCCATGGTGAGTATCACCACTCAACCTTGAAAGCGGGTACAAATCGTTTTACCTGAAATTTTTATTGATGTCGGTGGGGAAGACTTCAGCTAAGCAGTTGCTCAGGTGGCAGCTCATATAACTGATTCCTGAAAGAGAAATTCAAATTCAGAATTCAGTCCATACCGTGACCTCTCTGCGGGTCATTTAGTCTCTCGAGCGGGCGGAGATTACGGTCTGGGCGGGGAAATGAAAGTCGAATTTTTCGGTCACGAGTGGATCACATGAGCTGCTACTTGGGTAATTCTTTAGTAAATGCCTCCCAATCATTTGCCATATAAGAAACCCAGAGACTCTGCTTGATCTTCACCTTCCAATGCGCATAATTCGTAAATTTTAGTAACAAACGAGCTGCAGTTCGTTGATAAAATGGTATGCTATCGATGGGTGGATGACGGTAGTGGTAGAAGCGATCGTCGAATAACAAATGGATTGCCTGGTAAGCGCTAGACCTCATTTGCAAGTTAATTGGACCATGACCTTGGGGGTTCCCAATGCTAGACCATGCATTTTCAATGTTGCTCGGCCGTCCCCCTTTTATGGATTCACAGAAACTCTCCAAAACTACCTAGTTTCGTCCATTCTTGGAAGTTATTTTATTGATTATGTCTGTTGATCGAAAGAAATCCATAGGAAGATATGCTGCTTTGGATCCACGACTGAAAGAAGATCCACCTAGTCGGGAAGATCTTGCTAATGCTGTGTTCTTTCTAAGTACAGTTGGACCGGATGCGCTATTTCGGATGATCCTCAAAAAGCTGTATGTTGACTTCTATTTTCACATCAGCCTGAAATTTTTTGAATTTTTCCATTCAGGCCCCATGACCGCACACCAGAAGAACTGGAATTGGTCTATGAAGAACTGCTCCATGTCAAAGCCCTCTCACACTTGAGCACGATGGTGAAACGTGAACTGGCTACTGTCATCGGCTATGAACATCATACTCATGCAGGTAAATTGGGGTTCTGCATACTTTATGCATAATCTGTTTACTATGAACTGAGTAGGAGGAATATTTATACAGTACCGAATTAGCTTGCTCGGAACGCGGAATTGTATGCCCCTGTTTGCACAATTTAAATTTTTCCACTTTCAAATATTGCACTTGTAGTTTTAAATGATTAGAAGATTTTTCAGTCATTGCAGTCGGAATTATATTGTATACAAAAATTCGTTCTCTTAGTGTGTAGAAACAATGAAAATGTGATCCGAGGAGAATCAGTCAATTTACTTTACTGCCAAAATTGATTTACTGACAAATAAAGGGAGCAAAGTTCTTCAACATTTATCAAAAAAACAGGTACAATTGAGATTGAATTTTTATGCGTGTAATTGAATGAATGACTGGAGAATCGATGCTCATTCAACAGCTATACAGGGTGTCCCAAAACAATATATCGAACATTTGATCGTTAATAACTCTCTTCCCACTG